TTTCAGTAACAGCATCCCTCTGTTTCTTCAGATTCAGGGAACTTGATAACTAAATCTTAAGTCTTAAAATAGAATGTATTACCAAATTATGTGTGTTCATAAACTTGGTTAGATATTTTCTATCTAAATCATTTTGTGACATGTAAAGTGGCACAGATTGAGGGAATTTTCAGTTGAATTTTACACATAAAGTTCCAAAAATTATTTTAGCTATGAATGTGACATTTGTGAGGGTAAAAATAGCATCTTTATTTTGCTATTTGAAATGGGAAAATCAAATGGATAACTTAATTTGTATCAGATGTTTAATCTTCATAAGCCTCAGTTTCATCTATTAAATGGTGATATATGTGGATTTGTGAAGATTAAATGAATTATCAAATACAAACTGCCTAGCATAGTGCCTAGCAATTAGTAACTTCTAAATAAATGTTAGTGTTGCTTCTGTTGCCTCTAAAGCAATAAATAAACTATTAGCACATAGTAGAAAGCCTATAAGGCATTTGCACAATAAAAATCTGGGAACATGAGAATACTAGTTGGTATTTGAATTTGCATGAAGAGTAGTCACCTACCATCATGTCTTCAGAGAAATTCTTCCCTCGTTGATCTGCTAGATAGATGAATATTCAGCTGTAGGCTTATCTTTGACTACACTTTCTTCTACCCTGAAAAACCCGTTATTTCCTTTGACCTATAAACCAACTGAATTTGTAGTTGGAATTTCAATGTTATTACTACCATTTAATTTTTTTATTACCTCTTTTCCTTTCCCTGTCATGTTTTCTGCTATCTCAGAGGTATCTTCAGAGGTAATTGATATTCTAATTTGTCTTACGTGTCTTAGCAAGTAATTAAATCTCATAATTCGTAAGTTGTCATCCAGAACTTAGGGAAACTTAATTTTGAGAATTAAGTAGTTCATAAATACCTAAGAAAGGAAATTTAAATCTGTGAAGAAAAGATTAATACTGATTAAAACAAACTTAACAAAACCAGCAATAATAATATTGAAGCCCCATTCTTGATAATTTTAGGATTAAAAGCTGCAGAGGTGTCGTCACTCCCACCATCAATTGTCTTGGATGCCAAAGAAATCACAAGTCAAATAACCAGACAAATTTTGGTAAGAAACTCTTTAGCAATAAGAATTTTTTTTCAAATTCAAGAAAATACTTTTAGTGTACATTTTTATTATGGCCTTGGATCTAAATATATATAATTAATAATTCAAATATTTAAAACAAAAACCTAATTCCTAAATAAAGAAAATCCTTTTTACTTCTTAAAACTTTTTTGGTTTGATCTATTATAACTTTTCCCAGCATACCTACTAATAAGATAGGAGACAAAAGTTAAACAGTTCAGTTCCTACTTGTTACTACACTAACTTTATGATAAGAAAAGAAATCTCTGTAAAGTAAGCATTAAAAATAAAAATCACTATGCACAACATTTTCATGTCTTTTTAAATAGTTTTCAAAGCTCTTCTATCCATTATCATATATAAGCCTCATAACTTCATGAAGCAGTTAGGTCTAATGAAAGATAAATAATAAAGGTATTATTTTTATGTGCATTTTTACAGCTGAGGTTCATAGAGCTTAAGTGATTTGCTAGGAAGCAGTAGATCTAACACTGAATTCACATCTGTTAACTGAAAATTTGGAAATCCTTTTTCATTTTTTTACATCAAGTTGCCTTATATTGTTTTAAGAATCCAGTGTTTTCAGTAAACTATGCTAGGTGCAGTATGAAATTTTCTTCAGTATTAACAGTTTCCTGTGTCTTTCACTCTTTCTTAAACTGCCTTCAAGTTTTCTTTTGCATTCCTCAGTCTTTTGACCTCCCCGACTGCGTTTATGACTTTACTTGCCTAACTACTCCATTGGAATTCCTTCACCAGTAATTTTGGCAGTGCTTCACTTCTAAAGAACCTCTCATTACCTAGTTCTTCAGAATTCCTCTTGCCAAATTCCAATTATGGGCAACCTCTCCAGTAGCCTTCTAGGTTTTGGATTTCCTGATGCTGCTCAAAATATATTCAGGCTAATTTTAGCCACTGCAAATTTGTATATACTAACTTTGGTTGAATATTTTACTGAATAGTTTTTTCTTCTGTCCCATTAATCTATGTGGTTTCTTATAGTAACTCTTTCAAAATGTTTCTACTCTTCCTGAGCCCTCAATAACCTTTACTCTCTACAAAAAAATTTACCTCCTATACTTTTTGAGAGACTTGAGGTCATCCTGGTGAGTCCTTGAACCTTTTCCTCCTTCAGAATTCTATTTTGGAATTTCTGTTTTTCACCAATTTCTCTTCCTTACTATTTCAGAGGAAGAGATTACCTTTCAACCTTTTTTTTTTTTTTTCTTGGGGTACGCGGGCCTCTCACTGTTGTGGCCTCTCCCATTGCGGAGCACAGGCTCCGGACGCACAGGCTCAGCGGCCATGGCTCATGGGCACAGCCGCTCCGCGGCATGTGGGATCTTACCGGACCGGGGCACGAACCTGCGTCCCCTGCATCAGCAGGCGGACTCTCAACCACTGCGCCACCAGGGAAGCCCCTTTCAACCTTTTTAAGGTTATCTTTTCTACCTTCTTTCCATCTCGATTAAGATCAGTTTCTTCATCAGTTTCTTTTCTTCTTTGCATCCTTAGTGTTTTCTTCAGTGGCTTTTTTTTTTTTTCCTATGAATATGGTTAGGTTTTTCCCAATAAATCCTTTTTTTTTTTTTTTTAACCTTCTCAAACTATATTTCTCTTCCTTTTACTGGCAATTTCCCAAGAGTAATCTATACTTGCTTCTTCCATTTTCCACTTGCAAACTGGATCTTGTCATCACTCTACAGAAAGTTTCCTCTTAAATACTAACTATTCATAAAATCGTATGGCCTTTTTTTTCACTTCTCATCTTCCCTGTTCCCTCTATGGCGTTTGGCACTACCCTTCTTTCCCTTTTCATAATTCTTCCCTGTCTTGGCTACTGTGGAATTGTCCTCTCCTGGATGTTCTCATTCTCCTACCCCTTTGATTATCACTTCTTTCCTTTCTTCACTAGTGCTTTATATTATTCCACCTACCAAATAGAAGTATTCCTAAGATTTTACTGTTGTTTCTTTGTTTAAAATTCTATACTCTTGGGCTTCCCTGGTGGTGCAGTGGTTGAGAGTCCGCTTGCCGATGCAGGGGACACGGATTCGTGCCCCAATCCGGGAGGATCCCACATGCCGCAGAGCGGCTGGGCCCGTGAGCCATGGCCGCTGAGCCTGCGCATCTGGAGCCTGTGCTCCGCAACGGGAGAGGCCACAAGAGTGAGAGGCCCACATACCGCAAAAAAAAAAAAAAAAAAATTCTATACTCTTGGTGATCTCACCTTTCCTCAGCCTCCACTTTCATTTCTTTTTGACTGAATGTATATATTTTATCCATATTTCTTCTTGAAATCTTAATTTATGTTTTCACTCTTCAGTAGGTTCAAAATTAAATTTATCATCTTTTGAAAAATCTTCTCATCTCTTCACTTTCAGATCTCCCAGTGACCCATCAGAGCTATGAATCCTTCTTCTTAATTACCTCTCATTAGGACTAAGCAGTAGTTTCGCTCTCTTTTCCAACCCATCCTACATACTTCTACAAGATTGTCTTCTAATGCATAGTTCTTATGTTGTTTCCTGCTCGGAAATTTTCAGTTGTGTCTTACCAAATAAAAGTTGAACTCCTTAGCCTAATGTTGAAAATCTTCTATGATTATTTCTCAAAATGTAATCTGAGGATTACCTATGTTAGAATCACCTGGGATACTGGGTACCATCCCAGATTTTCAAGGGTCTCCTGTGGCTCAAGGATTTACATTTTTAACCAGTCTTCAGATGATTTTTAAGCAAACTAAAGTTTGTTAACTACTGCTTTTTGATCTCCCTTTGTTTACTACCTCAGTGTTATATAACATTACTCAATTTAATTATAATGTACATTTCTGCCACATTGAATTACTTGTCATTTCATCATTTTGACCTGATTGTGTACCATACTTTCTAATGTGTTTGCTCTCTCTGTTTCTTCCATCTGGAATGCCCTCCCTTCTAGGCTCTTCTATCCATCAAGATTCATTTCAAGTACTCCATCCTATTTAAGCTTTTCTTGACCCAAGCTGGAAGTGAACTTTCTTTCCTCGAACATTTTATATCCCTCTTATGGGACTTTTCATGATTAATCAGTTGCTTGTAAACATGTCTGTTTCACTGTAAGACTGAGCTTTTTGACTTCCATTATCATGTCAGGATGACATTTTTGTATGCCCCCATAGTCATGAATGCAAGTTATAGGGTCTGGAATATAGATAATAATAGATATTCAATAACTGTCATTTAAATAATAAACTGATAGTTGATCAATCAGTGTATCGAATAGATGGATGGATCAATATATGATAATCTTATTCTACCTCACGGAGTCGTATTCATTTTTCCTATAGTAAAAGTAGAGAAATATCTAGAATTCTTGGCTATTGAGGAGTTGAAGGGATTGTATTTCCCTTAGTGAATGGAAACTAAGTCTTTACATAAATAGTTAAGATTGAAAATGCTGCTTCCTCTTTCTAGCTCAGGCAAAGAAATGAATGAAGAATTTCCTAGCTATACTCCCAACCCTGAAGGGAGATGTTCAAGGACTGAATTCTAAAGGTCTTCCAAAGTATTAGAAGATTCCCATTTTAAACATTATTTCTTGGATATCCTTAAGTATAGTTTATAAGTATAATTAAGACATAATTTCAACTAGCAATTTATGTTGCTTATTTAAAAAATGTAATTTACCCCTCAGGCAGTATTTTCTGTTAGGCTCTAGCAATCCTATATATGAACTGTTTTGAGGGACAAGCAGTTTACTGATGACCCATTCTGTCCACTAGTTTATCTGTTGGGGAATTAAAGTAGGAGCTACAGAGTAGTACTCTGAGTGACATTTAAAATTATGAATACTGCATAGCAATGAGCAGAGTGCTATTTTCCCATAACTTTTTGATGAGAAAGTGTTTGTAGAACATAACTCTGTGGATTTTCTATTACTCTTTGGTGTTGTGTTGAGATATTTGACCATTTAGCAGATTTTTTTTTTCATTGAGCAGTGGTTTTCAAGGATTAAGGATCTGTCATAAAGTAGTAAATACTCATGAGAAATGTTATTCTCCAAAATAATATTTATTTCTTCTGGTACATGATTTGCTAGTTGGATGGGGCTGACTTATCCAAAGGGATTGGTTAACCATTGAGTTCTTATTTCTATGAAAGGAGATAGAATATTGCCAAAATAAAAATGATAGTATTCATATTTTAATTTTTATCTATATTTTTTCAATAACAGCAAAGCCAAAGGAGTACCCCTGAGATGGAAAGACAGAGAGCTGTGTACCATCTAGCTACTAGGCTCGTTCAAACTGCTCGAAACTCTCAATTGGATCCAGACAGTTTACGAACATATTTAAGTAATCTCAAAAAGAAGTATGAAGCAGATTTTCCTAGGGCTAAACAAGTTTCAGGAAACACTGAAGAATAATAACTCACATCTTATACTAATGAAATAATATGTCTTAATATGAGGAACCTAGAATTCATTTTTCCCAAGAGCAAAAGAAAGTAATATTTGCTAAATTTTGTATTTTAATTGAAAATTACATTATATTAACCTCAGAATTATCATCTATATGTTCTATATAAGAAAATATTTGTTATATAACTTAAAAAATGAGAACTATTTAAAGAACTGATTTTTATGTTAGAAAAAGGTGTAACGTGACGCTTTTTTCTCATTTATGAAACTTCATGTTAAGTTTATTTATATTTACAAGTTATGGTTTAAAATGTTATCATAAATAGTTTAGCTAAAAGAAATCTTTCTTTGCACGTCTGAAAACTTAGGCGAGGTTTTCTTTTACACTGTTATTCAGAAGGAATATTTCTTTTACATGCTTATTATGACTCAATGATTTCTTAATTAATACCCCCAAATTCCAACACTGGATGCTTCTGAAGTTTGTTAGAATGATACCGAGAATTTTAAAGTATTCTTTTTGGCATTCAGTATAGTTCTAAAAGGTGAAATTCAGCAAATAGATACTTTGTAACGCAGAGAGTGTTTCTGCAAGGAGTAGTTACCAAATAGCCAGGTGTTCCATTTTCTACTCACCAACTTCTTCTCTTTTCCCTTTTCCAAATTTTCATTTTTGACCATCTTTTTTAGGTGAGTAAACAAGGCAGCAGAAAGGTAATATTGATATGTTTGCCTTAATTGTTGGTTCACAAGGGAGCATTTTATAAAATTGTGTTTCCACAGGCATGTGGCTCACACCACCTTTTAGAGTTAACCCAAAGGTTATTCTGGTTTTATAAATGGACAAAAGAAAATGGAAGACCATCAGTTGTTCAGTAACTGCAAAGAGCTGTTGTCTTCTCAAACACCTTATTTCTATAGTTCCGTCTCATTAGAAGACTTACTCACATAATCTCAGCCCAAAGGCCTAAGATAGGGAAATTACTCTTGGAAACTTAAGTATCTGGAACTCAGGGTATACATTCAGTAAGCTGCAAGATTCATAGTTATTTGTATCACTGTGAATTACTATTACAAAAAATTGTTCACAGACTGATTAGGGCCCTATTTTTTGTTAATATATACATATTTTATTTTATAAAATGTAATACTAATATTTTTGACTTTATTCAGCATTCTAAGTACACATTAGTTGCCAGATATATTGAAAAAGTTATAATTTGAAAGACACACATAATTTTTTTGAAAAATAATTGTAAATTAGTGTTAATAATTACATTAGATATATACTGAATGTCTTATTAGACTACTTCTATTTCCTATTCTCATGTTTTAGAAATAGAGCACCACAGTATTTGAATTTGACCATTAGTCACATTTAAATTCACAGCCTCTGAAATGAATTATATTTTATGCAGTCATTCCTAAAAGCAGTTAGATAATTTAGGTTTGTGGCAAATTTCTAGAAGGTACTGAGGAGGAAAAGGGAATGGCACATTGTTTGGGAGGGCAGGGAAGAAAAGGGAGGAAGCAATAACAGGGAGAAGGGGAGCAGGCTGCGGAAGAAAACCAGGCAAGCAGAGACAGGTGTGAAGTATTAAATATGCTGAATACCATTTACTCAAATGTATTAACTAACTTCCCTTTACATTTAACCCCAATATTAAATTCCACCAGACGTTTAAGAAATTCTTCATCATCATTCTGCAGCTTTTGATGCAAAAACTGCAGCCAACTGATTAATCCCTTTTATTTTAGATTTGGAATACTGAAATAAAAATGGTTCTATATCTTCTTAAAATTAAATACTTTTTCTTCAGTCATTTTGTGTGTTGCTGAAACATATGAAAAAGCAAATCAAATGCAGATATAATTATAAAGTCATGGTACTATAGGATGGAGGTGAATGCTAGGAAGACAATCCAGCCTTTAATTTTCAGGTCTATTTGTTCTACTCTTCAGTACCTCTTCGTCTTTGCCTTTCTCTAAAATTATAGATCATTATCTTATAATTCAGTCTTTTAAGATAAATGTCCATAATGTTTTAGCAAACTCCTTGAATTTCCATGTCAAAGCCATTCTTTTAGTCTGTTCCACCTTTCTCCTCACATAAAGTAATCTTCAAGTCTAGGGGTAAGATGTGTGGGAGTAGAGGAAAAGGGCAGCTTATCCTCATGCTTAGGAAGTAATACATTTGTTTATTTTAAAATTTGCATAACAGTAAAATTAAATCTTTTTTGGTCTACAATTTTATGAATTTTGGCACATTTATGGATTCGTGGTACTACCACACTCAAGATGCAGAACAGTTCTGTCACCACCAGATGATTCCCTTTAGTACTGTCCCTTTGTAGCCAGATTCTTCCCTGACTCCTACCTTTAACCCAGCAATCACTGAGTATGGTTAAGTATTCCTTCCCTATAGTTTTGTTTTTACCAGTCATATAGCATGTAACCTTTTGAGACTGGCTTCTTTTACTGAGCATAATGTACTTTAGAATTTATCCATTTGGTTGTGCCTTTTAATTGCTGCTTGGTATTCCATTGTTTGTGTGTACCACAGTTTATCCATTCACTCACCGAAGGACATTTACGTTTCTAGTTTTTGGTGATTATGAATAAAGCTGTTATAAACATTTGTGTACAGATTTTTGTGTGAGTGTTAAGTTTTAATTTATCTAGGTTACATAGGAGTGGAATGGCCCTGTCATATTGTAAGTGTATATTTAACTTCATGAGAAGCCTGCAGACTCTTTTCCAGAGGGCTTATACCATTTTACATTCCTGTCAGCCACGTATGAGAGGTCCAGTTTTCCCACATGTTCTTTAGTACTTGGTGTATTGTCAGTTTTTAATTTTTTTTTAGCCATTCTAATAGATATGTGGTGAGTAATGCATTTAAAATATTTTAAAGCTATTCTGATCATTCTTTAGCAAGCAGCGATTTTTTAAAATCTTTCTTTTTCCTAAATTATTTTTTAGCTGCCTTTTAGTTTAACCTCTCTGGTAGCACATTTTTAAATCTTTCCCTTCAAGCAAAAGTTTCAGAGTTTGGTAAAAAACTACCAAAAATATAATTCAATAATATTTAATATGGAACAGACTACGTACTAGGTGCTAGGTGCACAAAAGATGTCTGACCTTGAGGTAGGCTTTTCAGGTGTAGTTAAGAAAAAAATGCATGTAGTAGGGTTGGAACACCATGTGATAAGTATGATAATAGAGGAACATAAGAAGGGTAGTAGCACAAAAAATGTTTACAGTTCTTTGTGGATCAAGGGAGTTTAAAAGGTAGTAAAATATGTCAAATGTTCAGGAAGGGAAGAGCATTTTAGATAAGGATCAGCATATGTAAAAGCAAAGAGATGTGAAACAGTAAGCAGCTTGGTTTAGCTGGGGGATAGAGTGCATATGAGAGAGTGGCAAAAAGATGAAGTAAGGGCTTTATATCAGTTTCTCATTTAGATGATTGAAGAGTTTTAAGATCTGTTGCTGGACAGTGGAAGAGGGTGGTGGTGGTGGTAGTAGAGGAATAACATGATAAGATTTCCATTTTAGAAAGATCATCTGGGTGGTAGCGTAAATGGTTTTGGGATGTGTGGTTGAAACCAAGGAGACGAGATAGTTTAAGAAACTCAGTAGTGCAGAAGAGAATTGATGATTAAGGGTAGAAACAGTGAGAATGGAACAGGGGTGTGTGTGTGTGTGTGTGTGTGTGTGTGTGTAAAGGAGGAGAATGGAGAGGATGGAGTTGCTGGTGGAGGAGAGAAGACATTGATTTGAAAGATATTAAGGAGATTTAGTGCTGATTAACCAGATTTAACGATTCATGACTTATCCGATTTTTTAGTGAGGGGAAGGTGTTATGGATTGAATTGTGTCCCCTTGAAAAAGATTCATTAAGTCCTAACCCCCTGTACTTCAGTATGTGACCTTATTTGGAAATAGGATCATTTCAAATGTATTGATAATTAGTTAAGATGAGGTCATACTGGAGTAGGGTGGGCTCCTGATCCAATATGACTGGTGTCCTTATAAGAAGATTGCCATGTGAAGACACAGAGATTCAGGGAGAATGCCATGTGAAGATAGTGATACATCCTTGGCTTGTGATACATCTACAAGCCAAGGAATGCCAAAGATTGCTGGAAAACCACCAGAAATTAGGAAGGATTCCCCTACAGTTTTCAGAGGGTGTGTGGTTCTGCTAACACCTCAATTTTAGACTTCTGGGCTCCAGAACTGTGAGACAATAAATTACTGTTGTTTTAGCCTCCTAATTTTTGTGCTTTGTTATGGCAGCCCTAGCAAATTAATACAGAAGGGAAGAGTTAAATATGATTCTAGGTGGTGATACCATCAACCATGTTGAGAAATATGGAAATAATAAGAATTCCAGTAGAAGGAAGTTTCAAAGAATTCCCTGACGGTCCAGTGGTTAGGACTCAGCACTCTCACTGCCAGGTTCCCAGGTTTGATCCCTGGTCCGGGAACTAAAATCCCACAAACCATGTGACATGGCGCCCCACCCCACCCCCAAAAAAAAGAAGAAGAAAGAAGTTCCAGAAATTTAGGTGCTGCTTGTTGCCCACTCTCTAGCATAGGTATGAGCCATGTTCAGTAGAAGTGATGACTAGATAAAATTCATTAAGCTCTGTTAGAGTGGATGGAAATTAGGGAATTAATGTAAAAAGATTTGCTAAAATATTTGCCCAGAAGAATCACTTCAACTGAATCAGCAATCTAGTTTTTCTTTATAAGCTAAAGGTTTTTTTTTTTAACTTTCTTCATGTTAACACATATTTCCAACTAAAATAATTATCATATGCTACTGGTAAAATATTCAAATATTAATACATTGTGTGTTGTTTGAACTTCATATACTTATTTATGAGCTTAAAATATGCTCAATCATAATTAAATGTAGTTTAAGTGTAATAAATAAGCATTTCTGTAATCCAACCCTGTAATGCAGTTAAGGGAACGAACGTGGAAAGAGAGGAAAA